ACATAAAATGTTGTTATATTTAATATCTAAACGTTTCGCCGATCAAGGCTTCTTCAGTAGATAAAAACTTAACAGTAATATTACACACCCTAATTTTATACTTATATAATTTTAGGAATTTTTAATTATTGATGTACAGTATAAAATTAGGGTGTGTAATATTACTGTTAAGTTTTTATCTACTGAAGAAGCCTTGATCGGCGAAACGTCTAGATATTAAATATAACAACATTTTATGTCTGTTGAAATTCCATCCACAAGGAACCTTCACATAATATATCCCAGACATGATGCCTGAAACCCTTTCATATATATATATATATATATATAATATATATTTATACACTGTACTTACTACAGCTAACTCAGATAAAGTCATTCATTCGATTCAACATGGAACATCGATCAAAGGCAAAAAATATACAGTAGATAGCACGAACACACATGCATAACTAAGCTAAAAATACTTTGACAGCTCGAACTGCCAGAGACTGGCAACTTGGGTCTGTTTCAAATTTGTGTCCTTTCCTTGAACTTTTTGCATTTACAAAGCTAAAATCGATGGTGATGTTCCGTTATCCCCCTTGACCTTCAACCTCGTTTCAGTCGTTTGATATTGTGATGTGCGCATCTCCATGCCATTTGTGATTTGAATATTTGTCGATCAGTTCCGCATTGACAAAAGTAAACATGCTTACATATTTTGCTGCTGATACGACCATGCAGGCATTATTTTCATTCGCTAGCGCGCCATAGATACTGACAAGTGACAACATCTAAAATTACTTCCCATACTAAAACATTATCAGATTCGTCTGTTCTTTCATGTTTAGGCCTATTTGTCTTTTGTTTTGCGTACATGCATATTATTACTAGCACGCCAACAAGTCCACGTATAAGCAAATTTGCTTACGTAGAAGTGTCATATTACTCATCACGCAGTAATGGTGGATTAGGAAAATCCTCTATTCACAATACACAGTAGTATATATAGTGGAAGCCGTGTGCCAAATGAGAAAGTGATTGCAATATTGTTTTTGTATTGTTCAGAAAGTTAAAAATATGAAGTAAAATTGTACGTCCAATAGTTCAAATCGTTTCCTATTGTCGTTTAATTAAAACAGTCAAAAACAAGATTTGTTAATTAATACTGCGTTCAAAGTTGTCCACATGTGACCATTGTGAAATAGTCTGCTGTCCAAAAAGCAGAGTAGTTTTCCGTTTTTGAAGACAGGTGTTACATTATTTACATATTTAAAAAAAAAAAGATAAAAGTCATATTTTTCATGCGAAGTCAACTTTCACTTCATGTAACGCGACGCCATGTTTGTTTTGTTTTGAAGCAATCTGTGACCGTTACTTCTTAAACTAATTAATCTGCTCAGTTTAAACTAATTGGTTGATAGATTACATCACAATGTTTTTCCACCAATCAGATCAGTTTGTTACAGATTTTTGCACTGTGATTACAGAAATTTGCACTATTGTTTGGGATTAACTGCACTGAAATCAACCAATCACAGTGGAGTAATACCTTTATGTATATTATTAAGTGCGGAAACAACATCAACTAATTTCAGTAAACACGAAGCTCTAGGAAGATGGTCTGTGATTGGTTGATTATGACAATGACAAAAGAATAAGCTATTGAATGGATTTTCTAAAGAACGAAGCAAGAACAATATTCCTTTTGTTTATGTAAGCCAATTACGTCTTTTGTCATTGTCATAATCAACCAGTCACAGAACGTCTTCCTAGAGCTTCGTGTTTACTGCGTGCCGACCCTGTAAATCGAGTAATAACCGATGGCCGATTTAATAAACGAAACTTTCTATATGAAAGCGCTTGAATACAAAGAGTATTTTACTCATATATTGACTTGGGGGCGAATAACAAAAAGTTTAGAAGATATTCAAGTTTTTTTCTCCAAATGAAATTCGAAATGTTTGGCCAAGGATGAGTATAAATGTATGATTGTTTTGGTTTGAGTAATGGTTTGAAGACATTTGCCCCGGTTCGAATGGTGTTTTTCGTTTTAAAGGGGATGAATACTCGCTGAGATCAGTTTAGATTAGTAATGTAAATATCTCACTGAAAGAGTATTCATTAATGGGCAATTTAAAGATATATAACTGTTTAAATGATGATAAGGTGGTTATTTCAAACAGGCAGGCTAAAGCTACTTCGAGGTATAATACTGTCGCAATATTAAAATGATGTTTCACGTGTTGTAACTGTCGTCAGAGGTGTTTGCGACCAAATGGAAACATGAAGAAAAGTCTTGTTGCCAACACGCTGGTAACAGTTCACGACAGTTACAACAGTGTCGTCGAGATAGGCTCTAGTTCTATTTCGACGACAGTTGTGACAGGATACAAACGTGTCGTGACGGTTATGCTTCAATGGAAACCATTGAGATGGAAACAGAAAAACGACAGCATTGCAATATTTTTGCCACAATCAGGAAGGTTCCTTTTGGACACGTTCGCGACGGTGACGACCATATGCCGTGTGCATGAACCCGGCTTTAGAAAAATGACTCATCTTTGCTGGAAGATTAAGAAGATGAAGTTACCTATGCTTAATCAGTTGAAGCTATAGAAGTCCAATCGTTATCATTGCACAGCAACTGAAATTAAAATGTGCTATGATAATTATGTTGAATTAATTAGTTATTTGAAAGTATTTATCTATACGCATGCAGCTTTCTTATTAATCACTTACAGCATGAAATCATGCACATGCCCATTTGCATGGGCATATGGCATTATTGGCATATACTGGCATATTGAAGCTACTTTGAGATATAAAGTGATAATATAAAAATGCTACTAGATGCTCATGTGTCAGAAAGATGTAGTCATCTTTTGCTGGCGGTTTAATTAACAAGATCAGAAGCTAGATCTACAGTGTGTATAAATAAAACTGAACCCTTTCAAATTCAAATTAGCTATAACGTATTGTAGTAATTTGACAGCTCTAATTGCTTAAATTAATGGTTGGATAAAACACTAGGTCTTGTACTCATTGGACAAAACTCAAAGAAATAAAAATTAGAAAATTTAAAAGAAATACAGTATTCCTTGTGTTCTTACCCAACATTAATTCAAGGCAATTAGAGCTGTCAAATTACTACAATGCGTTATAGCTAATTTGAATTTGAAAGGCTTTCATTTGCGCCCTAAGCCAGTTCTCCGTACGTTCATCGAGCGATATTTAATTTCATAATCAGTAGCCTACAGTAGCTCTGTTCTGTAGTGGAAGAACTATGTATGTATTTTTAATACGCAAATTCCAATAATTGTTCGTCGCTGCATTACATTATTGCCTGTAGCTGATCATTTTATTTCAAATGATCTGCCAGGAAATATTTTACAAAATTACCGCTAGCACAGAAGGAATTGTTTATAATTCTGGTGTCTACATATGCGTCAATGATAATTACTTATTCAACTAATTAATTTAACACCCTGAATAAGTTGAATAAGTAAGTAGTTGAATAAGTAATTATCACTGACGCATATGTAGATACCAGAATTATAAACAATTCCTTCTGTGCTAGCGGTAATTTTGTAAAATCTTTCCTGGCAGATCATTTGAAATAAAATCATCAGCTACAGGCAATAATGTAATGCAGCGACGAACAATTATTGGCATTTCAGCATTTGCGTATTAAAAATACATACATTGTTCTTCCACTACAGAGTAGAGCTGCTATATAGGCTACTGATTATGAAATTAACTATCGCTCGATGAACGGAGAACTGGCTTAGGGGGCAAATGAAAGCCAGACGGTCAACGTATATACCGAGGGCCTTCTGGGAGCTATTGAAACTAACTCTCACGAATTTTAAGTTGCACTTGTTACGGCTTGAAATGCAGGGTTGTATAAAGGCCATTTTCCATTGCAGTCGCTTTGCCCGCGCGGGCGGAGCGTTCATTGTTTTTGAAGCGCGTCACGCCCGCGTGAGCAGATTTTCAAAGCCCGCTCCGACCGCGCGGGCAAAGCGACTGCAATGAAAAATTGCCTTAAAAGACGTCAAAATCTGTGATTTGATCCGTTGTAAACAGAGCGATTACTACGTCTGAAACTCTCCTGGGGCCTGAAACTTTAATGATTATTTCTCTTTCATTGACTCATTGTATTGGTTGCCGTCGTCGTCGTCAGTAGGGACCTTTAGCAAATAGGTGACGGCAACGTGACGACGACGGCCAAAATAAACTCGTTCGCCATAAGTAACTTTAAGATCAACATGTCTTGTATTATCCGTTGTATAAATTTATTGCAATTTAAGAAGGTTAAGACAGAGGTTTATAGTTGAGAAGACTTCTACTAAGCCAATTTGGCGAGGACGACTTCTCGCGGCTTGAAAGGCAGACGTTGTGTACAAAACGTGAAAATCTTTGGTTTGCTGTTGTAAACAGAGCAAGGACGACGTCTAAAACTCCTATGGGACCTTTAATTATGCATTTTCGTTCTACAGGGTGTATAAAAAACCCCGCAACCTCGGAATTTACCAAGAAATCGACATTGTTTTAAAGACAAAAGATTTTAGGCGCCTGGGAATTTAAAATAGCACAACTAGTCAAAATTACTGCACACGCGAGTGCATAAAGCAAAATTTATGCATTTATTTAATGCACAACAACAGTAATATGATCTATTAGCAATTCGATTTCAATTCCCAGGGGCCTAAAATCTTTTATGCTTAAGAATTGCAAAGTGATTTCTTAGGAAATTCCGAGGTTGCGTTTTTTTTTATACACCCTGTACACTGTCATAAATTTCATTGTATTAATAGAATTAATAATTAAAATTAACTCTTAAATTAAGCATTGCGATTGGATGAAAGTGCTTATGCATGCACTCGCAGCGAGCTGCGAGGAGCTTCGTGCGAGGACTGGAATTGCGCCCACCATAGTCACGCTCTGCAGCCGTCTTGCAAATTAATATGCGAAAGAACATTCCTAGGTATTAGTCTACCGTGCATTATTTAATAATGGCTGCCTTGGAATGGGTTTTCAAGCATCGTTATTTAATTCTCCTTTGGAGTGAACTGGAAGTCTTGCTTTTTTCAGCCATAATTTATGGCTGGGCAGCTCTAGCAGTAGTCTTGAAACAAGATAACATATTTCATGACTTGTGCGAACGTACAAACAACGGAAATTCGACTTTGACAATCGGCGAATATTGCCTCAAAAACTATATTGATGAACGATTAGATTTGGTTTTTCTGACCGGTGTTCTTTCGTTTAATGCAATTGGTATTGTTTCTGGACCTTTTCTAGACCGCTTTGGACCGAGAAAAACACGGCTGCTTTCGAGGTAGGTTCAATAATACCAATTAAGTAATTCGTTGGAAAGAAACGTACGTACCTGTACATCCCGCAAGCCAGTGGGCTAATGCTATTAATATAGCTCTCAGTATTAATAAAATCAAAACTATGATTGTATACTCTGAACATGAGTGCCCGATATCTCCCCGTTAATTATTAAACTGAACGGAAAAATATCCAAGAGCTATTAAAATTAGCTATATAGGCTGCTTGGAGTTTTATTAGACCAATATCATAAATGGGAACACAACATTATAGTATTATATATAAGATTGTTAATTCAGTCCAGACTATATATTTATTCAACTGTCTGTGGTATCATGACGACCCGCACGTTTTGAAAAACAGCGAGATCTGCAAACTGAGTTTGCAACTTCAGGAAACGAGCAACGCTAATCGCATTATTAATTACCGCTATAAGATGTCATCAATCCAGGTTCAGTTGTTAAACGCAGTGTGAAACCAAGCAAGTAATAAGTTAATTTTCTGTTATGCATTAAAATAAAAGTGTACAAATATGTCAGGATGATATTTACGATGCTGACTGTTGACAACTGGTCACCTATGGTCAGGCTATACTATAGCGTATAATGTGAAATAAGGCTGCGTGTAATAATACTCGAGCATGAGTTGTAAAACAAAAGTTCTTGATATCTAGTTAGAGATCGAATAGCGTGAATAATATTCAACCTAGATTTTGTTTACGTTTATGGCATGATAATTCCATATCGAAACGTCGAAACCTATTTGCCGTCTTTATAGATCTTGGCAGTATAAAAAGTGCGGCGGCTTCAATGGCTTATACACTTATACCGCCTTTTCCAAGGCCCTATAGTGCGCAAATGAATCTGGAACAAACGTTTTTACCGTTTTCACCAAGATATATATCTACATATTATTCCAAAAACAATAGCTGCATTGACACCATTGTCTTAGCTATTTTACGGAATTTACGCCCGCGCCTGCGTTGTCGGGTAATAAAAAATATATAAGACTCCTTTAAGCTTCCACTGGTTAAGAAAAGATGGGACATCTTCATAACCTGTCAGCAAAAGATGGGACATCTTTCTGACACAAGAGTTTTCACTAAAAGTCATATATTCTAGATATTATTCCAAAAACTATAGCACTAGCTGCTCCGCCTTACTCTAACTTAGCGCATTGTAAAGAATAATATAAGACTCCTTTTAAGCTTCCACTGCTAAAAGTATTCTGGATATTATTCTAAAACCTAGCGCTATCGCTGCATGCGCCGCTTTACTCTAACTTAGCGTGGTGTAAAGAATAGTATTATAGACTCCTTTTAAGCTTCCACTGGTTAAGAAAAGATGGGACATCTTCATAACCTGTCAGCAAAAGATGGGACATCTTTCTGACACAAGAGTTTTCACTAAAAATATTCTTGATATTATTCCAAAAACTATTGCACTAGCTGCACCGTCTTACCCTAACTTAGCGTGATGTAAAGAATAATACAAGACTCCTTATTCTAGATATTATTCCAAAAACTATAGCACTAGCTGCACCGCCTTATACCCTAACTTAGCGTGATGTAAAGAATAATATAAGACTCCTTTTAAGCTTTCACTGGTTAAGAAAAGATGGGGCATCTTCATAACCTGTCAGCAAAAGATGGGACATCTTTCTGACACAAGAGTTTTCACTAAAAATATTCTTGATATTATTCCAAAAACTATTGCACTAGCTGCACCGTCTTACCCTAACTTAGCGTGATGTAAAGAATAATATAAGACTCCTTTTAAGCTTCCACTGGTTAAGAAAAGATGGGACATCTTCATAACCTGTCAGCAAAAGATGGGACATCTTTCTGACACAAGAGTTTTCACTAAAAGTATTCTATAGATATTATTCAAAAATCTAGCGCTATCGCTGCATGCACCGCTTTACTCTATAACTTAGCGTGATCGGATTTTATATGACTTTTTAAGGACTTTTTATAATGTAGGACTTTTTTAAGCTTCCACTGGTTAAGAAAAGATGGGACATCTTCATAACCTGCTAGGCAAATACTTATAATTACTCAGATAATATGTATGCGCTTATAGTTACTTTGCATTCCGCACTGCGCTGTTATGCGAAGAACAAATGAATATAATATAAGGTCAAATGAATATAATATTCTTTTATTATACCAGCCACTGTATATATATGTAAATAAATATTATTTGTCTTCTGCTGCCATGTAACAAAATATAGAAATGAGTATATTATAATGAATATATTACAATCAATTTGCGGTTGTGATAGCCCTGCTTGAAAGCCGTGGTACCCGGCATATCTAACATACTGTATACTAAAGCAAATAATAATTGATTAAGTGGTGCGATACCTACAGCTTTTTTACTGTTATACCTAACTGATTACGCATCAATCTTTAATAAGCACCCATCAAAATATTGCCAGTTTGTTCGATCTTGATCTCCATACTGACTCCATACACACGATTGTCAAGCTGAATGCACTCTTTCTTCAAACCAGATTTTGGCGCAATTTGAACTTTGCGCGGCATTGTCTGCTAACATTATTATAAATTGGTGATGACAACCTGGTTTGTATGTTAGCTCAGTTAGTTATTTGCTAGATCAAATCTTTATGGGATTAAATTTCATGCACGCATAAATTACTTCACTATAAATTCATTATACATGTCACCACTCTTACCACCTCGACTAATATTGCTGGCATACTTCGAAACCCGGACCGGACTCGGACTCGGACCCGGACTCGGACTCGAAGAAAATCCGGACTCTATAACAAACGTACTTGCAGGGAGGTGAGTCCGGGATTGGACGCACCGAGGGTGGCTGGAAGTTTCCCGAACTTACCGAGCGAAGCGAGGTGAGTTCGGGAAACTTCCAGCCACCCGAGGTGCGTCCAATCCCGGACTCACCGAACCTGCAAGTACGTTTGGTTTTTATCCCATACGCCGAGCCATACACACATTTGTAGCTCTTCGCGATATATTCGTCGATGTTTTGTGAACATTTTCCCGGCCAAAAAAATCACTGGGCAAGAAAATACTTCTTTATCTACGTCTACATTACCTTTACTGCATTTTTTCTTTGGTTTTTCTTCAGTCTCAGTATGTTAGTCACCGAAAAAAGTTCTTTAAATTTAGGTTTATCGGCTAAATCTTGTCCGCCATATTTGTTATTGTTATTGTTATTGCAACGTAAGCAGTTTAGCGGGTGAGTTCGGGCGAAAAGCAGGTGAGTTCGGCAAAAAGCGGGTGAGCTCGACGACCAGCTCACCTGCTCTAAACCAATCAGAAAGCCGCTTTTAACACAGGTATGGGATAAGAGAAAAACCCGGACCCGGACTCGAAGAAAATCCGGACTCGTGTTTAACAAAACCCGGACTTGACTTTTGAAAACCCGGACTCGAAATAAGGCAAAACCGGATTTAAAACAAGGACTCTGTGTACGAAAATGCAAAGGCTTTTTGGAAAGGTTTAATAATTAGTAACATGATAAACGATGATCTCTTTATATCTTTATCTCAATATTTTTAAACTTTTGCTGTTAACAAAATAATCACTTAGATATACTGGAACCAAATCATTTAGGCAATTATAAGTTGTTAAAAACTAAAATGTATTGATGCACAACGATCTACAATTACAAGTAGCTAGTACGAGGGTAGCATGTTGATTCTTGATTATCAAAATATTTATTGTCAAACTTCATTGTCAGTATCGAGCCACGGTTGTATGCAAGGCATATGGGGCAATTGATGAACGCATTGCCTAACGAGAGAGTCTCAATATCAAATTTATGCCAATCCACCCAACGCGAATTTCACTGTCGGCCGCGGGTGCGGCTGTTGCTTTAATAAGTTAATTGTGATGTGTTTTCTACTACTTTCGGATAAAGAATAATTGCGGGTGTTCAATTCGTGTTTATGGACTTTATCTTAACGAAATTGAGAAAATAAACGTGTTTCTAGTAGCGTCTTGTCCAACTATTTGAGAGCATGTTATAATATCAAGTTTATGTCCATCCGCACAACGCTCGAATTACTTCACAGTCGGTATTTAGACAAGGATGCCGCGACACCTTCATTGCCTTCAACATTGGGATGTGCTTTTCCAGCGTTCTTTTCGATTGGTTGAAGTTAAGTTATTTTTCGTGTCATTTTGCCGATAGTGAGGTCGAATATGTTGAGGATATATTTTACCATTGCCGCCATCGATCACGTTGAGTCTGCTATGGTGGCAGCAATCGTGTAACGAGATGGTTTACAGACAAGACATTCCTAGCTGCTGAGTCAGATTTCAGTTATTAATTTATGTCTAGGGTTTAATAGTAGGGTAGATTTAGCTACTCCCAGGAGTAGCTATGTATTTTACAAATATGTTGTGTATGGTCAGCGTGGTTAAATAAATTTTTAAATTAAGTAAGTAAGCAAGTTTGTATAAGGCTAAATGATTTGTTTAGGTAGGCTATGTAGTGATTATTTTTGTGAGGAACCATATAGTATGATAACTGATTAGTATACTATCCTCAGATAACGCATAACACTGAGTCACTAGAAGAAAGAAATATCTATATCTTTCGAAACCAAAGCTTATTGCTTTTGAAATAAAGTATTGTATTATATACAAAAGCGAGAAGAGAAAGAGGCACTCGCGCAAGAGCACAAATCCATTTATCCGCGAATTATTACCGATAAAACCTTTGCATTCTCGTACACATGCAGAGTCCTTGTTTTGAATCCGGTTTTGTCTATTTCGAGTCCGGGTTTTCAAAAGTCAAGTCCGGGTTTTGTTAAACACGAGTCCGGATTTTCTTCGAGTCCGGGTCCGGGTTTTTCTCGAGTCCGGATTTTCTTCGAGTCCGAGTCCGGGTCCGAGTCCGAGTCCGGTCCGGGTTTCGAAGTATGCCAATATTGCTGTGGTGACCAACACCGTCAAGATAATTCAATTTATAGGCGTGCGGGTCCTCATGGTGACAAAAACACCAAGAAACTGCGGATTGAAAGGGATTAATTCAACTACCTGAACAATACAAGTAAAACTTCGACGTTTCGAGCACAGGCCTTTACTCGAAACATCGAGGTTTTATTTATATATATTTTTCAGTTGGTTGAATCCCTGTCAATTTGCATTTATTTTCCTGCTCTTTATTATTCAAGCGCGCCCGTAGGCGCTATGGTTTATAATTTCACGCACTGCTGCATGTCGCATTTTTTCTTCTGCATGTACGTATTACGTTCTGTGGAAGTGCTATTACTAGGACTTCGAAATGCCAGCTGAATTACGCCTCTACCAACTGAGCTCACGGCCAGATCCGAATGAGGACTGAAAATTATTATTTATACACTGAATATCATAAACATGGCTCGTTTATATAAATTCAGCATCAAACAGCATGCACTAGATCCGCGATTGTTGTGATATTGTTCACTCAGTAATGTCATTGGTTGGAAAGTTCTCGAGTGAATGATTTCCAACCGAGCAAGAGGAAAATATAGATACTGCGGGTGTCCGGTGCCCCATTATCGAGAGTCTCTGGCTCTCTGCTATCAAGTGCACGAAATCTAATAATTGAGTCACGCACGATCTTGATTTTCAAAAACCATGTTGATTATGGGAAAGAAAAGCTTCACATGAGAAAATATAGTCTCGTATTTATGCCTCTGAAATTAGTAAAAGCATCTTTTGGATTAGATTTTGAAACTAGAGTGAAATTTGTGTATTTCAATTTAGTAGGCATGGACAACCCCATTTTGTAATGACAAGTTCATGATCTTTGTGAATGGTTTACTGATTTCATTAGATAATCCCTTGAGGAGACGAGCCGAGTTAATGACCATTTGCATTATACAGGGTGTCCCAAAAAAAAGTGACACTATAGAAATTATCTCATTGTTCTTACGCCACTCTTAAACGCGCGTGATTACACGCCTGGGAATTTAATGAACTTGTATTTAATTTAAGCATTTTAAAACGTTTTCGCTTTGTCCAAATATTTTAACGCCCGAGTCAAGCAAAACGATTACACTAATAAACGGTTTGCTTTTTTATTTTAAATTCCAGAAGCAGAAGTTTATGCACCTGTGGGATCAACTTAGTGCTAGGGCATTCAAATTATAACAATAAGATAATTTCTATAGTGTCACTTTTTTTTGGGACACCCTGTAGACTAAATTTTGATCTAAACAAGTCTAGACAAAAATTTCATCACAACTTGAAAGAGCATCACAAAATTGGTAATATCCCAAAGTCTCGTTGCGAAATGTTGTAAAATGCGGATAGTATAGCCTTGCGAAGTTTGCCGTTTTTCAGTCATTTTGTATTACAAACGGGAAATTGACAGCCCCAAAGGGTGTTGGGCTGCCAATTTCCCCCGCGTAATGCAAAATGCGTCGTTCCGGGCGTTAGCCCGGGGCGAGGGTACTAATTCCGCCCGGCTATTTACATCCGGGGGCAAGAGAAGCATTAGCGAAGTCTAAAGTTCATCAATGATCGCGGGCGTGGGTCATCAATCGTGGTAGCCTGCGAACAGGCTCTTCAGGAATTGAATTAGATCCATGGCTAGTACAATCGGAAGTTTTTATCAGGTTTTGGTAGGTGCAAAGTGCCGGTTGTACTAGCCAGGATGGCGTGATTGATGACGAATCGTTTGTAAAAACGCGGACAAACACGCCTGGCAAAAAGTAGTCCAAAATCGCCAGAGGTGTTATAACTTTTTTAATTTTCATCCTGATTGCACGAAATTTTCCATAAACATAGAACATATCATTCTAACAAATCGTGTAGTTTTTGTTTTTGGATTTTTTATTTTTTGGCGGGAAAATGACGTCACAAACTTGGCGCCAAAAATTTAAAAATTAGGAATGACTAATTTTATTTATTTGGAAGACCATGCTCTAGCAATCTCGAAACTGAAGTCTGTTTCGAAATACGACCATTCGCTGCAAAGATAGACTGGTTCAAAATTCGAAAAATCGGCCATCTTGTTACTAAAAATAGAACAAAATGGCGGATTTTTCAAACTTTGAACCAGCCTATCTTTGCAGCGAATGGTCGTATTTCGAAACAAACTTCAGTTTCAAGATTGCTACAGTATGGTCTTCCAAATAAATAAATAATATTTGTCGTTCCTAATTTTTAAATTTTTGGCGCCAAGTTTGTTACGTCATTTTCCCGCCAAAAAATAAAAAATCCAAAAACAAAAACTACACGATTTGTTAGAATGATATGTTCTATGTTTATGGAAAATTTCGTGCAATCAGGATGAAAATAAAAAAAGTTATAACACCTCTGGCGATTTTGGACTACTTTATGCCAGGCGTGAATACTTGCTTGAGTTACACTTCTGCTGTACATTCTTATTCTGTGATCTAACTGAAATTGCTCAACAATTTGAAATTATTTTGTTTTATTAAGTGAAACAGTTTATCGGAAAAAGCAGTTTATAGTTTAAAATGAACATTTCTAAACAGTGCATGTACGTGACGAAGCGATTCAGGTTAAATTTTACATTAAGTCAAAGCTCACAAAATGCAGCAGAACAACATACCTACAGTACATATTTCGGAAATTCATTGTTATATGGTTAAACCGATCTAATAATCTTTCAAGTATTTTTGGTCGTACAAAATTATCGTGTTGCCATGGCAACACTGACGTAAACGCGAGCCTGCGTTCAGTGTTGATTAATTACTAATACTTCATGTTAAATCAATGTTTGGAAAATACAGGCGAAGGTTTGCTGCATGCATGTTAGATACTTGGCGGTCACACAAAGACTATTTTACATCGGACACGTAACAATATCGTACCCAGAGCAATGCCTGTACGCGGGCTAGGATGGCATGGTAGAAAACCCGGGTACCGGATAATCGGATAACCGGATAACCGGATAACCGGATAACCGGATAACCGGATAACCGAATAGTATATAGAGATTTTTTCATGGGAAATACTTACGTACGTGTGGTATTTACGCACGTGTTAATCTGTTTTCGCAAATTAAACGAACGAGCGAGTGCAAAATTTGTTCTTCATAGACGATACAGAGTTTATTTATATTACACAGCGAAAAATATAAAGTAAAAGTAAATATAAATAAACTCTGTATCGTCTATGAAGAACAAATTTTGCTCTCGCTCGTTTGTTTAATTTGCGAAAACAGATTAACGCGTGCGTAAATACCACACGTAAGTATTTCCCATGAAAAAATCTCTATATACTATTCGGTTATCCGGTTATCC